ATCTTACGGAGTGTAGTTTATTTAATTACAAAATTCTATAATAAAAAATAATAAAATCCTGACTTACAAACAACAATAATTACACATAAATTTAACTTACTAGAAAAGAAAATTTGCTTTTTTTATGTTTTTTGATGTTAGATGAAGAGTTACTACTGTAATTTTTCTTTATTGAACTCCAATTTAGTCATTGCAAATATTTTTTATAGGATCCTAAACGTTTAGAACAATGGCAGCATGTGATTCCTAGGGCTGATAAAGTACTGTCTAGTTATGATTGTTTGCGAGCTACACTTTTTAGAAGATGATATTTTAAAATTTAATGAGACTATTTTAACTACCCAGACAACACACCAAATCCCAAAGATATCCACAGAATATCTTTTGTGGATATCCAATATATCCACAGGATATCAGAAATATTCCGTGGATCTAATATGGATATCCAAATGTCCGTCTATATCCAGAATATAGAAGATATCCTATGGATATTAAGCAAAATATCTAATTAGTATCTTCCAGACAATACAAGAAATCCCAGAGATATCCACAGAATATATTTTGTGGATATCCAAATATGGATATCCAACCAAATGTCCGTCTATATCCCAGGATATAGAATTCAGATATTCAGCAAAATATTTTATAGGTAGGTATCTTTAGACACATTCATAAGCAACCAAATGATTATTGAATAACGTCGAAAGAAAATAGAGATAAAAAATATTTCCAACAATCTGCCTTTGAGTTTGCCCACTAAGAAAAAAAGTAATCCTTATTAGGACTCTTCAGCAATAAATGGAAATTCTCAACTCTAGTCTCTAATAGAGTCTTAATGCGAAATTTTTTTCGATCAACTCAATTATGGCGGGTTGAGCATGAGTAGATACGAAAGTGGTATCGCCATCTATACTTAGGAAGCAAAATCAAAAATTACATCTAGTAGATATCCACGATGGTTTGCGTCCGCGCTAAGACTTTGATATATGTGGATGTCCATGGGATATTGAATACACCTTAAAAAAATTAATTTTAAATATCTGAACGGTACTATTAGCCACAATGGCGAGCACAATGGCGTAATTTTTTAATAATTTGCTATATAATTACTATTATTTATGGACATTTGCATGTCTATAAATTACATTTTATGGATATAAAATAGATATCCACCATAGACTGGACATTCAGTGGATATTGGGATGTTCAGTAGATATCCAAAGGATTTGGTGTGCTGTCTGGGCAATGGTGCTGTTAGCAAAATAAAAAGGGGACAGCTAAAATTAAAGGATGAGGTAATACCATGTACATTCCCAAATCTCCCTTTATACTTATATTACAACAATAAAAAATCTGTTAACTGTGTTTTATTTTACTCTTAAAACTATATATTGGTTCAATTCAAAAAAAAAAAATTGCCACAAAATTGTACTTATCAAGTTTCAGCAATTAAGAAACCTTTTCGAATTTGGTCATACATACCAAAATTGTGTTTTATATAGATAAAATTAAATAATTTATCAATTAAAACATGCAAGACTTATTTAGAAATAAATACAACAGTATGTTCTGTGCTTTATTTAGCTGTAAACAAGTTTATTTTTATTATTTTGACAAAATTATGTATAATTCCCATAAGAAGCCATGTATTTTGAACTACGTAAACCGTACCAGCGCCCATGCGGTTAATTATAAAAGCTCAATTGACGTGTGATTTTTGGGACCGTATTTTGAGCATGCCGATTCGCCTCCTTACCTCTAGTCTTCATAGACACGCCCAACCTTACCAACATAGGGCGCGGCCATTTTGATGCCTTTATCACAGTTTATAGCTAAGGAATCAGTTCGCTCACTCTGCGACGGCACTTTTGATCTCAATGTTCCAGTTTATACACTGTGCAACTCGGATAATACAATATATGATAACCGCTTATAATAAAACAGCAGTTTTATGCGCATCCTGAATTTGTATCCCTGGAGTGGATGTTATTTTGGAACTTTCAACTGGTCCGAGTGAGCTGATTCTTTAGCAATAAACTGTGACTCCAAAAATAATATTCACTGACAGCAGCAAGCAAAATATTAAAAATATTGCGCCAAGATGTAGGCAACACGTAATAAGGCATCAAATTGCGGAGTTTTCTATCTCCTTTTAAAAGGCACTCAGAAAGCTGCGCAGTGCGACCTTTTTCCGTATAGTAAGAGAAAATCAAAGTATGTGGGCTCTACGAACAAAGCTAATGTTTCAGTTTCAGTAACTTGATACATCAGATCTCATCTACTTACCTACTTTTAGGTTTGTTACCATGACAAGCGTTCACATGGCAACAGCTTCTCCATAATCTAAAATTTGGCACAGACGCATTCCCTCACCACAGGATTTGGGTTTTTATTTAGTATTTGGAATCGATGATTTTTCATCTTAACTGTTTCGAAACATAAAATGGAGAGATCCAGTATTATAATTTTTTATTTTGTTTCCTATTAGGTACCTCTGTACACCTAATATGCCAGTCTCAGTTTGTGATTTAATGTTAAGTAGTCTGTGTAATGTGTAGGCTTTGTTACTTTACTGTTTCCCGGCGCCACTTGTGAAACAGCACTGATAATTAGAAACCAACAGTAAATGGTCGGAGTAGGGAGTTGTTATGTATCAGAATTATTTTTAAATAAATAAATCCAGCCAACAGTGGGATTCGAACCGCGGATCCTTGGATTCACAAGTCCAGGCACTATCTGCCCATTTGATTAATTTCTGTTTTTTTATATATATTTTCTATGATATATTATTATAATAATTATAATTAAAATCTTTCTCCCATTTGAAAATATGTTCATCAAAAGTCTTGATCAAACCCAGTTTTAAATTTTCTCATATACAGGGTGAATCCTAAGTTGGTGCTTTTTAAACTGGGTATAGAAGGCATTAAAATAAGGAACTTTTTCAAAAAACTCGAATTAAGAAACATTAATTTATTCCAAATTGAATCCAAAGCACAATTATAAACACAAACGCACTTCGTCTTCTCGTCTCGGTCATCCTACATATCCTCCACGATGTTCCCGCAAATTACCCGCATCCCTATCCCATTGGGTTAGATTAATAAAAGTTCTGGGACTAGGTAAAGCTATTGAAATCACGCACAGGACTGAATTACAATAATAACGACTCATGATTCATACATAAGAAAATTCTAAAACTTAAAATTCACTCTGTATTTGTATGCTATCTTTGATTTTATCTTAGTAATAACAATAATAATGCTTTATTTTCCTTATGACAAACATAGTTTGTATAGAATTAGTCAAATTATAAATATATTCTTAACCTAACTAACCTAAAGAGAGACAACAAATAACAATCGAAAGACAATTTACATTAAAGTTTACATACAATGTTAGAATTGACCATTTTAATGATATAATATTTATTCTATGACAAGAATAATTCCTAAGAAATTAGTCAATATTTAAAATATAATATTAAACTTAAACTAGATAACACAACTAAAGAGAAAAGAATTGAAACATTTTAAAAGATTTAGACATTTAAAAATTCACTTACGGAATAGAAGCCACCCTCATGTAAAAATCATTTTATTGCTAATTTAAATGAATTTACAGATTTACAAGATTTAAGGTGAGGAGGCAAATTATTGAAAAATCGTTGCCCAGATATAATGGGTGACTTGAATAAAGTATTATTGCCCTTTGAAAATGGTATATAAAGATCATTACGATTTCTTGTATTTAAATTATGAACTTGGTCATTTGTCATAAAACTATTTAAATTACTTAAAACAAATAAACAAACTTCTAAAACATTTAAACAAGGTAATGGTAAAATTTCAAATTTTTTTCAAAATATTCTCTACAACTGGTTATGCAAGAAATACCAGCAATACACTGAATTATTTTCTTCTGTGAAATAAAAACATCATTAAAATATGTGGATATACCTCAGAAACATATCCCATACCTTAAACGCGATTCAGCATGTGCATAGTACAACATGATTAGGTGTTTTTCGGTTAGAAGTATTAAAAGTATTAGCCACCTTTGAAGGATTATCAATTAAATCTCCTTTTTTGGTTAATATTTCTATTTTTTTCTAAAATCATTATTTTTATTTTTAGTACTATCTGTTATAAGTTTCCAAGCACTTTTAGTGGGATTTTCAGACGACGAAATTATATTTTGATAATGCTTTTTCTTGTTGACTTTAGAAGATGTACATGACGTTGTTTTGTTTGGATATAATATTCTTGATGTTCAGGATATATTCTTGATAATACGTGAAATTTTTTTAAGTTACTACTCGACTGTCGAACCACATCGGTATCCCATTTATTTTTATTAGTTATTGATATTTGTTTTTTACTAATAAAAAATTAATGCTAAAATGATGCATAAAGATGTTTATAAATACCATCCTAATACAATGCGTTTTAACTGACATCTTACATTAAATATTTTCTCATTATCCGTGATCTTTTTATTAGATGAACAGACATTCATACGAACTGAGCAACTAAGAAAAAGGATTCTCACGTTGTTTATCGTATTGAGAAATTTTTATGGGATCTGTTTTAGTTGAATTGGCAAACGCCATCAATTTTGAGTTATTTCTTCTCAAAACAATATTGTCTTGGATACCTTCATCTCCTTTATCATAGTCAATTTTTGGATAGTTGGTTCGATTTGCTCTGACTGTGCCATACTGTAAAAAATTATTTAGTAGATTTCCAAATAATACTTAAAGATTTACGTAGATTAAGCTCAATATTTTATTATAATGAATATTTTAATTACAATTAATTTTCCCGGGAAATGTTGCAAGACATTCTATTACAGGACGTTCTATTTCAATATTTATTTTTAATGCTAAAAAAAGCATATAATAATTATTATTATTATGATAAATTCACAAAATCCGGTTTGATGCCAACACAACAAAAACACAAAAAAGACAAAATGTATAAAAAAACCTATTTTTTCAGGCATTGGTTGGAAAGCTCATTCCGGTTACGGTCCGACCAGATGCACCAAACTAAAAATCTACCGGCCCAAAACATCTGCTCCCCCCAAAACAGACGATCTCGTTTCCAGTTTCGACAGAAAATGGCGCTTTATTCGTCAAGCAAAAGTCACCCCAATGGACTTGGCTATTTGTTGGGATTTAACACCGGAGAACCCCAAAGATGAACCAGAAAAAATTAAACATTTAGATGGCTCTAATGGTTCTGCAGCACCGGCGGTTTTCAGCCTGGTACATACACCAAAAGAAGAAGAAATTGAACAAAAGTGTGATGGAATACACGCTTGTGGTCCTTTATTTGACCACAGTGAAAAAGGTAATGAAGAAAAGGAATATTTGTTTCATAGAACGAAAAATACGCCCCCTAAAAGCATACACAGTAGTAATAGTAGCGATAGCAAAAAACGAATTAAAAGTGCTGTTGATGATAAATTTTCAGTTTGCTCCAAGGCGAGCGATATCAGCATTAAATCGAGAGCTAAAAGTGCTTATAATATAAACGAACTTAACGCAGGTTCGCATAGTTCTAAAGATAACAATAACAATATCGACGAAAAAATCCATCAAAGTACCCCAAATCTAAGCGAATGCAGCCTAGAAAAGCATTGCAAAAAGTACAACAAGATCTGCAATAAATTTTGTGTGGCATGCGAAATGAAAGGCATCTCTCTGACAGATAAACGACCCAAAAGCGTATACAAGATGGCGTTTAAGGCCGGCGTTCCACAGCAGCAGAAAACAGTAAGTAATCCTTGCTACACAATCAAAGTTCCTAGACCTAAAGAGCCATATATGGTCAAGAATTATGTGATAGATAGCTTAGCGGCACCTTTTTGTTTGCAGAAGAAGAAGAGGGAAGATTATCCAGAACACTGGAGGTTAGCTACAGTGTATCAGCATTCGTATAAGCCGATGTATGCTAGAAAAAGACCGTTAATGCAAACTGTTTTTAAGTAGTTTTTCGTTTAATTTTTATCGAAGACATTTCATAGATTATATCACTCGCAATGTATAAAATACATAAGCTGCTATTTGTTTAATAACTGCTAATAGTCCACTGTCAATTTGATTAAATCGATAATATCACTCTCAGGGCCAGTCTTTTCACCTCTGAGTAAAGTTGAAAATAACTACATGCTGATTAGAGTTATGTGGCAGATTAGCGAACCATAGCCTTCAGTCTAATCAGCAAGTAGTTATTTTCAACTTTACTCAGAGATGAAAAGACTGGCCCTAAATGCAATAATTTCCAGTATTTTTAGTTGATTAATAATTATACAGCGTACATGATTAATAACTGATAATCATGCCTGGTACATAAAATCTAATGTGCAAGCTCGACATTTTTTGTCTTTGCTTTTGTACAGCAATTGAGGCGTTTATTTTAGAAACAACATATGTCCAAAATATAAATTTTTCAGGAGATGAAAAAAACGAACTGTAGAGTTTATTACAATTTTTTAAAGAACCTTTATATCTTAAAGTGATGAATATAATATAAATACAGATTTTCCAGCTAGTACCTTTGAGAAATCTCATTATTTTAAGAAAAACACATAAAATAACTTGGGCGTATGTTGTTTTTAAGAGAAAAAAAAAACAAAATTAATATTATTATAAATTTAGTTATTAAAGTTTAAGTTTTGTTTTTCTCTCCTGGGCTCGTTTGATTATGTGTCTCCGAATAACACTGAAACCTATTGGCTTATTGTGTTTTACCCCATGTTAGTTCATAGCACCCACTCTATCACCTTTGTACCTTGTACAAGTTTGTACAGATCCTTGGGTGAGTGGGTTCTATACGTTGTTGGATCAACCTGGGGTTGTCCAAAAAGAGCCTGTCTTTTGCGATCTAGAGCTTCGCATTCGCACAGTATGTGTTTGGCCGTTTCTGGTTTCTTGTGACATAGTCGGCACATGAGTTCCCCATTGTACATGCCAATTTTGTTCAAGTGTCCCTTTACTGGGGCGTGCCCAGTCATGAACCCTGTTATCACTTTCAACTGGTTCCTATTCATTAAGAGTAGTTCTCCAGTTCTTTTGGGACATGGTCTGCCTATGAAGGTTTTTCCATGTGCCTGTTTTGGGGTGCTTCCCCAATAGTTGATATGTTGTTCCCGAATCCAGTCATTTATAAAACCCCGGACTGTACTTTTTGGTACTCCTGGGTTTGTGTCTGGTTCCGGTGTAAGTTTAAGTTACAAAAAATAATTAGGATTCATCACAACCACTGCTGTTATCTTCTTCGTCCATTTCTATGGCGTCATTGCTCTGCAAATATTGTTGTGAAAAAATGACATCATAAAAGCTTCGATTTTTTGCATTCGCTAAATACGGTAAAAGATCCCTTAGATTTTTCAGTTTGACAGATGATATTTGCACGGCCTGTGGATAAACTGGTGTGAGTTTTATGAAACCAGTTAATGGTTTTTTACTTCTAACAATAGAGGATTTCCATGGACCTGAATAGGTATCCCTTAACTTCACTAAAGCAGTCTCTATACTAATTTCGAACATGCGAACTTGTTTTAGGGAAATTGGCGGTCTAGCTGTTTTCAGAAAATATTGGTCGGTGGCTAACTTTACATCAAATATCTTTAAGGGGTCCATTTCGACTAATGAAAATTTCGAGTTTACTTCGTGCTGACAATATCACTTTATCCCACTCTTCAGGTGTCTCTACTCTTTCCAAATGCCGTTTCTTTTTTTCGATATTAGTGCGAAGTCTTGATCGTTAGGGAGATATGAATGGCCCCGAATAGGAAACAAGTATGTAATTTTGTCAAAAATTTTAAGCACATGGGCCAGAATAAATAAAAAGTGCAACATAACATAATTCTTGTTTTGCCCGGGACATCCCGGACTAAGCAGTACAAGATTCCTTGTCGTAAAGTTGTTAAAAAAAATACTTGTGGCACTCGGGGACTGCCGCGGTAAAGCTATTGCATAGCATTTTTTGTCTACTTACGCAATTATAATTATTTATTTATTTTATTTATGCAGTATTTTTTGAGCGTGGTGACCGATAAGAAAACAAATTTTTTTCTTTTATTGAATAAATGAGAAGTTAATATTGTTTAAAATATTTTTATTAACTTACAATACATGTAGGTTATTCAGGAATTTTTATCATTGAAACTATAAGTTTATGGTAACTGAAATAAGAAACATAAGTTTGAGACTTGATATCCTCTTAATATCTGGAAAATACCGCGGCAATAGTGGTCCCATATTTTGTTGTGGATTCTTGTGGATCATTATTCATTTTCAAATTCAATTTTTCCGAAATTGTGTCTAAAAGAGATAGAATCAGTTATGAGCAGTTAGCAGCTAGTCTACACGCATACGTCTAGTCGCACGCACACAAACACCATGCCGAAGTCTGCCGAACTGAAACGACGTTAGACGATGCACGGCTTTCAACGCCACACTGCTGTGCCGGTCGGAGTGGGGGTGTTAGGTTTAGTTTCACTACGGAATTTCTTTTTCGATTTTACGATTTTTCGACTTTTCGGTTTGTCGATTTTGATTTTTCAATTTTTCGAGGATGTTAAGAGCGATATCCATGGTTAGAAACAGGCTTAAAACGACTTCAAGGTTCTCTTTCTCAGTTTTAAATATTTTTTTATAAAATTTGGTATACCTACTAAGCAAATGATAGAGAACTCCGCTGTAGAGCCCGAATTCAGAAAAACTAATTTTTTAATTATTTCTATACAAATTATGAAAATTATTGCAAAAAGGAGTCTTTACCGGGAATTGTTATATAAAAATCAGCTAATTCTTTCCAATACACTTTTTTGTCCAAAGCGTATATTTTTTGAAAACCTTGAATTGGGAAATCTGAGAAAATCTGTCAAGATTCCAATCCATATTAATTGATTTGGCAACAAGGCGGCGGACGTTGGCGGTGCATGCAGTACCGGAAAATTGGGATAAAAATAAAATAATAAAAAACTTTATTCTTTTTAGTTCAAGTGTAGGTGTTTTTGTTTCGTATTTAGTCAATGTGTTTATATGAACTTTTATGTGTAAGCTGAGTTATAATAATTTGTGATAAAAATGGGAAAACTTTCGGAAATGCCGAAAATTATATTTCCGTTTCGACGGAAATCTATAAAATATCGTGCTAGATTACTTAGAAAAAGACAAACATTAGCACCCCTTCTAAGCATTAAAGTTAAAATATATGGGAAATTAATATACTATGTATTGAATAAAAAAAAAAACCTTTAGCTTTAAAGCAATATTTACAAATTTAAAGCGGATATCCAATAAATGTGGTGTATTTGTGGATTCTGAATATGGTTTTTAGGTTCCGACGGTTTATTAGGAACAGACAGTATTATCGAAATTAAATATCCTGCCACTGCTTCAAAACTGACTCCGAAAAAAGCAATGGTTGACAACATAATAAAATTTGCAATTATTAATGATAATGCGAAAATGCAATAATTGTTCAGGGGCAACTTAACGTAACTAAAGGAAATATTTTTTTTTTATTTATTTTAATACCTTTAAGTATGTTAGTAGAAAAAATAAAAAAGATGATAGATTTTGGTGTATATGGAAAACAAACTAAAGCAATTTTATTTAGATTGTATACTACCCGAGATCTTAGATCCACGTTTCACTAGAGGTTTAGATATTAGAAATTTGAGTAGAAATCCGACCAATAGTCAATAAAAATGATTATTTTTATTCCTTCTTTTACTAATAATAAATCATTTTACTCAATGTTATTTTTAAATATTTTTAGTACTAGAAAACAATTTTTTCTACACCCAAATGGATAGCGTATCTACGTACAGACTACAAAACGAAAAAATATGCTATTGCGTAAAATGAGTTATACTTGTGTAGAATCGATAAATAATAGCATTTCTAGTTTTATTTGATCTATATTTAGAAATAAATAATTATAAATTTTAATTAAACTATATGAAATCAATTTAATTTATATTCACTCATGTTACACAAACTACTATTTTTTACATCCACATGGATATGCTTTTTTCTATACCCACATGAATATTAGCTAATCTACGCACATACTACAAAACAAAAAAGTATTCCATTGCGTTCAACTGAACGAATATATTTCATATTCATTCTACCTAGTAAGAACACTGCAAAACAGTTAAATCCACCAATCAGATTATATATTGGTCACCCGGCTACTATTATTTTTTAAATTTTATGTAGTCAAACTAACTGTCAGTATACTTTTGAATTATTGAGATTAAATATACGTAAAAATGAATATTTCTTATGTATAATCGATAAGTAATAGAATTTCTATTTTTATTTCGTCCAAATTTATAAACAAATCTTAAATTTTAATCAAACCATATAAAACTAATTTAATTACAAGTATTAGAACTATAATGGCAAGTGTGGCGACGGCACGGAGTTTGTCTCCAAGCGAGAGACCCGAGTTCCAATCATGGCTGGGGACTAATTAAATTAAATCTTTTTGTATGTTTATTTTATTTTATAAATTATTAAAAGTCATACATTATTTTAAAATTATTTATTTTGTCTTAATAAATTACTTTTTTAAATTTGTAGAATTTCGTTAGGGTGTCGTAGAAAAAATATACTGTACAACTCGAGTGGATTATCTGTATCGCACTCAGACGATTAAGCACTCCGTCTACGGCGTCGTTCTGAAACTTCGTCTTCGTGCGATATGGCCATCATATCCAATTTTGTTGCACAAACTACTATTCACGCACAGACTACAAAACGAAAAAATATACTATTGCGTTCAACTCAACGAATATATTTCATATCCATTCTGGGTAGTGAGAACACTGCAAAAAAATAAAATCCACCAATCACAGTTTATATATTGGACACCCAACAACTATTATTTTTAAAATTTTAAATAAATGACAATTCTGTCAAACTAATTGTCAGTATATTTTTTAGGAATTGAGATTAAATATACATTAAAATGAGTTATTTTTGCGTAGGATTCATAAATAATTTTAATTTAGACCACAATTTAAAAAATCCTAAATTTGAATTAAACTACCTATATGAAACTAATTTAATTACTACTTTTAGAACTAAAATTTTAAATGTGGAGGTGAAAATGATGATACTTCATCTGTCTTTCACGCGAGAGGCCCGAGTTCAAATCTGGGCTGGGGACTAATAAAATGAAATATTTTTTCATGTTTATTTTATTTCACAAATTAGTAAAGTCATAAATTATTTTAAAATTAATTATTTTGTCTTTTCCTAAAATAATACTTTAAATTTGTAGATTTTCGTTAGTGGGTCGTAGAAAAAAACATACTGTACAACTCCAGTGGATTGTCCACTGTTGTTGCACAAACTAGTATCAAATGGGTTATTATTTAAAAAACGTATTTTTATACAGGGTATTTGTAAATAAGTACGAACAATTTTTGCA